TGTATTACATAGAAGTGTACGATGAGCTGGTTGGAAAACTTTGGAAACATATTTTGGCAAATGTCTTCATTAATATTACAACATATAAGAGAACATCTGGTACACTAAGGATTGGGTTTTTACATGAAGCAACAAACACAGAATGCGAAAGAGAACATTTCAAGAGCAGCACTTGGGAGGAGGTGTCAAAACCAAACGTCTAAAATTGTAGGAAAAACCCTGCACAACGAAGCCTTTCTAAGAAAAACACCAAATCAACCTGCTCCAGTTTTAAAAATCCAATTAGACTCCAGCAAACCAACAGAGAGTTCATTACTGACCTACATCTCAAAAACATCAAACTTAACCTACTTCTAGCATTTCAGCAACTAGGCTAACTTCTGCCTCTCAGAAGTCCTGATAATCCTAGATTACTGCACAGTGCTGTCGAGCCAGCGTCAAAAAAACAAAAACAAACACTTTTAGATCAGCTCAAACTGATAGTGTGTCCTGCTGAAGCAACGTGCACTGACAAGCACAGGAACACAATCTATAGAATATAGGGCAGCAAATGAATTAAAACAGCAGTTAAGTTCCTGTCAAAAGTCCTCATCACTTTACTTTATATGTTTTATCAGATTTTTATTTTTTGTCGGCCTGAGACGAATAGCATCTCATTTCAGGTGTGTTGTTTAATACCACGAACCGCAGGAAAAAAAAGATGAACTTCCAGCAAAATAATCCTTTTCATGCAGTAAAAAGTGTCGATCAGCGTTTTTCCCAAAAATGACAAATGTCTTGTTTTGTCCACAACCTAAAGATATTCAGATTACTGTCAGAAAACAATCACATTTAAGGAGCTGCAATCAGAGAATTTAGACTTTTTTATCTTGAAAAATAAATCAAACTCTTTACCAAAATAGTTGGTGATAATATAGTTGACAACTTTTATTAACATTTGATCATATCTGTAATATTTATGTACTTCCACTACCTTGAAATAAGAGTATTTTTACATTGTATTTGTACATTGTATTATATTGTAAGGCTACAACTAATAATCAGCTTCATTGCTGATTAATCTGTCCAGTTTTTTTCTCCATTAATTGATTAGATGTTTGATCTATAAAATCTCAGAAAATGTAGAAAAATATCCACCAGTGTTTGCACAACCCAAAGTTTTCAACTGATTCTTACAACGTGAGTAAAGAACCCAGAAAATATTCACATTTAAGAAGGTGGAAGCCAAAAATTTACACTTTCTGAGTGGAAAAAAAAAATACTCAAAATGAAATAGTTGGTGATTAATTCAGCCGTTGACAAAGTTTCCCAAAGACCAAGACGACGTCCTCAAATGTGTCATTTTGTTCACAACCTGAAGTTGTTCAGTTTAACTGAGAAACCAGAAATAATCACAATGAAGAAGATGGAATGTGAATTTAGACTTTTTTTCTTTAAGAAATGCTTAAACTGCCTATAAAACTATCTGGCAATTAACACAGCAGGTCACAACATATCAATTAATCAATTAATTGTTGCAGCTGTAATTCTTATGGAGTTTTACTTGAGCAGTGTTTGTCATGTAGGATTTTTATTTACATTGCTGTACAACTAATGATTTGTTGTAGTGTTGATTAATCTAAGCACTTCAGTCATTCAGTCTATAAATGTCAGATATCAGTGAAAAATTCAGATCAGTTACCAAAGCCAAAGATAACAAAGGTCCTGTGTCTTCCACAACCAAAAGACATCGAGTTTAATGTCACAGAGGATGAAGAAACCAGAAAATATTCACAATTAAAAAGCCGGGATCACAGAATTGATTTTGAAATGTACTCAAACCGCCAATCAAAATACTTGACCATTATTTCAGCTATGTTTCCCAAAGTGACATCCTCAACAGTCTTATTTTACATACAACCCAAAGATGCTTAGTTTAATTAACAAATCATCATAATAAAGATGCTTTAATCAAAAGAATTTATCGACTCTTTTGTCTTCAAAAAATTACTATAGCTGCTAATCAAAACCGCGGGCCATTAATTCAATAGATGACATCTTCAAATGTCTTATTCTGCATACAACCTAAAGATGCTTAGTTTAACCGATAAACAAACAAAAAAAAAAACATATTTAAGATGCTGTAATCAAAGAATTTTGACTTTTTTCCCTAAAAAAATACTTGCTTATCAAAACAGCTGGCTGACATCCTGAAATGTGTGTGTACAACTCCAAAGAAAGAAAATAACCAGATTTTAGAAGCTGGAATCAGAGAAGTAGGAGCCTTTTTTTTTTTTACTGTAATTTATTAATCAACTAGCAAAATAGTTGGTGATTAATTCAATAGTTGACATCCTCAGATGTCGTACTCTGTGTACAACCCAAAAGAAAGAAAATAATCATATTTTAGAAGCTGGAATCAGAAAATTTTGACTTTTTTTCTGTAATTCATTAATCAACTATCAAAACAGCTGGTGATTACGTCAGCAGTTGACAATTAATCAATTAGTCACTGCAGGTCTAGTGTGTTGCTACTTTTACTAAAGTAAATATTTCCAGGACAGCTGTTTGAAAACTGCTTAAGACCAGTTTATCTGAATGTACTTCTTGTTCTCTTTTTCTTCTCCATCTCAGCACTACTTTCTCTCATTGATTTAGCATTTACAAGCTACATTAGCATCACTTAGCACATCGGAGTCAATATCACTGTTGACAACACAATTTAGTGAACTGTGGCTGTTCAGGAGCTACAACACCCCCAGAGATGTACATTTAGAGAAACATACGAAGCAGCAGCAGCTGGTTGTTCATGCTATCAGCAGTCAGACTGGTCATAAGATCCTCCATTCGTCTTCCGGGCTGCCGAGGAAGTTTTTTGAATGACAAGTGTTGGTGCCACACAGGCTAACGCTGCGCTGGCTTCACTTTACGTGGAAGCCTCCGGTTAGCAAGTACAAATTAGCTTTAGCATCCGGTGTTTTCCCCCCCAACTCGTATCGCACTCGTGTTTAAGTTATAACATTCGCTTTGGGACAACTCACCCGGGAGCTCATCTTTGCGTTAACGTTTCACTGCCCGTGTTCAAGTGCAATTCGGCATAAACTGTTCCGCTGACGGAACAACTGCTGGAAACGAGAAAGTGACGTGCGGGCGGGCGGGATCGGTCTGCGTGCCCTGACGTCATCGCGCACACTTGCACGTACGGAAGTGAAAAATCAAACTCGTAAGCGATTAATTACTGTAACATAAGTGCGGTTTTTCCGATTATCCCCATTCTTTTTAAATCAAATGATTTCTTAAGCTCCAGTTTTACAGATTTGCTTTTATGTGACGTCTCCTGTTTTGCTTTATTGTACTTTGTGCTATTGTTATTTTTATTTGAATGACTTAATGTGCGTTCTATTCATTTATCTTAAAATCTAGTCTTGTTCTTTCTGTTTGGTCTGATTGGCTTTCTGCTGTAATATTGTATTCCTGAGTATCCTCTTCTTTCGGCACATCTGTCAAAGAACTTTGTAAAGTATTTATAGTAGTATCTATAATTTCATATCTTCTCATCACAGAAGTTGTCATTTAAGAATATCAATAATAATAATGTGCACACAAAATTCACATTCTTCTTGCTATTCATATTATACCTTGATGAATCTTTTTTTTTATTTTTTATTTTGTAACATTTATAGGTAACTTGTGTCTTCATTTTAACTGATAACTGTAGTACAAATATTTCATTTACTAAAATACAATAATGTTGGAATGTTTTGGTTCTGAATGTAAAAATGTACAAGTTACAATCCTTAATATAGCACATTTTAAACACTAGATGTTGAGACAAGGTGCTTCAATTCCAATAAATAAGATTAATCTCACAAATGTACCTATATGTTTACAATATTATTTTTTTATACCAATTAATCTAATTTAAATATTAAGATTTTACAATAGAATTTAGTCTACAAATGAACCCAACTAATTTAAATATTAAGGTTAAGACCCTGCAATATTAAATATAAAATACAAATTTACCCGGCAAATGAAATATTAAAACTCTCAGTCCTCAAATAGTACAAATCTGCAATGCCCCAACCAGTTGTGTACAGTTGATTATTGCTTTTTAAATAATTTTTTATGGCTTTTTCCATGTTTAAAAAATATGGATGAATAAACTAATGCACAGGTTTGAACAAAACTTGCACTAATAATACAAAATTTTCAGAATTTATTGTCTTAATGCATAAACAAGAATAAGAAATAAGAACATTCGCAACCTCCTTTGATCCGAGTGGAGACACCGACTGGAATAATTAGGTAAAAGCTTTCATACTCACCGTGATTTTCTTCTTTTAGCGGTACTGTATTACCCGTATGAGTGACACATGAACATTTAAGCCACAGCTTTCTTCAAACAAATGATTTATTTTAAACCATCTGAACATCAGATAGATTCGTGTCGAACTGTTGTGTATACTTAAAATCAACGTGTACTGAGAACAAATTGGTTTGAAAAAAGTTAAACATGTGGATGCCGGAGAACTAAATGTACAATTTCTCAAACGTCTCATGCAAATATAAATCAAAGTTATTTAAATAAGTGAAGTACAAACTTTATTCTGGATGTCAGAAAAGTCATCATGGAAACCTGCTGTGCTGTAAAGAAATAAACATTACTGCTTAAAGTCTGTCTTTATGATAGAATATGATTGTGCTTCTCATTTTTCTTGAGGAAAAGTAGAAATCTTGCAGTTTGTTGTTGACACCTGTTGATGCAACGGTCCACAAATGTTCTTGTTTCTCTTGTGAGGAAACTCAGCTTGGCCAGAAAGAAAGAGCGCGTATCCACGAGCTTAATAAAGATTACACTTTCTGTGAAAAAAATCAAAAGGAAAGACAATCAAAGCTGTCGGTGGAACTGATTTAATGCCCTTTGATGTGAGATTAATTAAAGTTTGTGACAAATATAGCAGCAGGAGGAAGAAGAGACTCTTGGGTGACTTTTTTTTTTCGTTTTGTTTTTTTTTAATCAAATAGTGTTCACGTCTGTATTTCTGTTGGCTAATTTAAGAATTATTTGACTGCCAACACACATGCTACCTCCTCACTAGCGTAGCACTGCCATCCTTAAATCCATTTCAGAGACACTTTTGCAACATGAAACCCACCAGTCTACTAAAGCCTCTCACTGTCAGACAAGATCAAATTACCATCAGCATTTTTGTTTTTTGCAAGAGACAAGACAAAATCTGTAAAATACAAAATATTTATTTTTGAAAATGTCTTTGTAAGAGAAAAACAAAACCGAAAAAAAAATAAAGAAAAGAAACAAAATAATCAAAACCAAATCAAAACCATACAAATTGTTTGGTTACTAGCATACCACACTAGTGCTAGGAACTAACAATGGAGAATTGTTCACTCGGGATAAACTCACGGACGCTCAGAGGCGACGTACATACGCCTCCACCTCTACCCTGCGATTTCATATTGCACCCAAACGCTGAGGCAAACAGAAGCGCCGAAAAAGTGGCACTAGTGGTGAAATGGCATCCTGTCTGTTCTCTGAAACTTACAACAATAGCAGGAGGGGCAGACATGTGGCAACCATCTGATTTTTTTCTCTTTTAACAAAAACACAAAAAAACCCAAAAAACAAATAAAGTGAGTTTAATACATATCTGAAATACAGTGGGGAGGGGGGGACTTAACTGTTGGCATTGATATGGTGAGGAGGAGGGAGGGAGGGAGGGGGGGAAGAAAAAATTCAGTATTCCAAGGAGAATCCCAACCTTCCAAAAACTGAACAGTGTGCTTCTGAAAGATATGGACAAGAAGGAGGAGAAAGCCCGGTTTCTGTTGGTAGCAGAGTCCGAGGCCACAGAGGTCAATGTTGCACCTGTGAGGTTGCAGTGGAGTCAGCTTAAGGCTTGGCAGGCCCAACCTTACAGCAGATATAAACATATATGTTATATTTAAACCTTTTCATCTTTTCTTTTTTTTTTCTTTTTCTCATTGTTGTGGTTGTACAATATTCCCTGATGGCCTGATGTGGCCGCTGAGTGTTACACAGAATCCTGAAGAGATATCAAAATGAAAGAGGAAAATAAAAGAGAAAAAAAAAAAAGAAGAAGAAGAAGAAGAAGAGAGAGAAGTGATGAAATTGTCCGTAGAGGGGGAGGAAAAGGGGGGAGTTTGATGGGGGAATCCTGTTTGTTGCTCTCCCGTGTCCCCTTCTTTAAAATGTTACGCACGCTGGTCAAACACACACAGTTCCTCCATCTCACCGCCGTGGCAATCTGCTCTGAGGACGGAAAGGAGACGAACGTTTAGAAAAGAAGGAGAAGCAAAGAGCTGAAGTTTCTTCAAGGGATCAAACAAAACAGGTTTTACGGCCAATTATTGGTAATCGAGAAAGGCTGACGACCGATATTCGGCACCGACGTACATCAAATGTTATATACTAACAGGAGGGATCGACCGATATGGTTGATATCGATGAATGGAATCAAGAAAGGCTGATAATTGATTGAAAACGAGGCTCAATAATTGTTCTATAACAGCAGCATGTGATAGCAGGTAATCCATCATTCATATCTAAACTACTTCATTACTATAAGAGAATATGTACAACAGAAATAGGAGTGATGTCATGCGATGCTACGATATTCTCTGTTTCCTGTGAGATCGATCGATTGATTCAGATCGATCAGTTGGTCCCCTGCTCTTTATCACTTTTCTTGCCCACTAAAGTATTATTTGTTTTTGTTTTCCAGACGCTGTTTCTGGGAAATCTGCAGCTGCCTCCAAACTTAGAATAGAATAGAATAGAATACTTTACTGATCCCTCATTGGGGGAAATTGACACGCCACAGCAGCATCCAAAGATATAGAAAGTACAAGAAAATAACAATAGTTAAGTAATATGCATCCCCAGTGTCCGCACACAGCAGATCCAAGGCCCCACCGTCTCCGGTTAGGCAGTCCACATACTGGCTTAATGTGGGGAGACTGTACTTAGCCGCTAGCGTAGCCTCGGCCACTGTGACAGCAGCTAATGTTCTGATTTGTGGAGACGGCTGCACTTCTGATTCTGAATTTGTGAATGTTGTGTCTCTGCTGGAGAGACATGTCTGTCAGTTAGAACAGAGTCTTAAAGCTAATCTGACTGCAGGAAGATGTTACAGTCTAGATTAGCCAGTTAGCTACTTAGCAATAGCTTTAGCCTTGCAGTAGAGTAAGTTCCAGCTGCACCAAAAAGTGAATCATGTGGCTTTTTTCAGTCTAACAGGGGAAGTAGGCATGTTTGTGGAAGATTTTAGTGGTTTACAACTTCAACAACATCTGCTAACTCATCCTCAAACACGGCTCTGGTCTGCAGATGTGCTCGTCTTTCCCCGTCTGTAAACAATAGCTTTCGGTGCTGATTGGCTGATACTGGTGACATGTAACCGTTCAGTGTTGTAGGCGGGTCACTGTTAAGACCACGGAGCGACGACAGAGAAAGAAAAGCGGCTTCCTCAAAGCCAAAGCAGTGCATTTAATTTATCAGTAATGAGTAAACGTGCCAAATATCAGCCTTGATAATTGGTCAGGCCGATAATCGGTCCATCCGTGATTACTTGCGTTCCTGAATTTGTCTTACCTATGTCAGCTTCTTGGCTTTGTTGTAAAGTGAGTCCACGACTTTGCTCATGTTCTGAATTGTTTCCAAGGCTGCTTCGTATGTTTTGTCCACCGGGGGTTCTTCGAATATGATCAAAACGCCTTCGCCTTGGTCGAGGATTCCTGGAGGCACAAAAAAATGCATTTCAGCACACTGAACGCGCTCCCTGTGAAGTTATGTGTATTTTCACGGGAACAGACGACTCCAATTACCGTGAAACTTTTTGTCCAGAATCATCTGTGATAATTTCCTCTCCACGTCGCCCTGCAGAAGAAAAAGAAGGGAAATTATGAAACACGGCATGTTTTTTGGACGACTGAATGAGTTGAACTCTCGGGTAAAAGAGGTTAATTGCAGCAGCGCTTACCTTTGATAGTTTGATTAAACCTGATATGTGTTCTATCTGCAAACAGAAGGAGACGCAAACTAAGTAAAACAGATCTTCATTATTTAATTCTTCCTTAAAATGATGAGGAGCAAAAGCTGAAGCAGATCCTCAGGAAAGCTTAGAATGAGGAAAGAATGCACCAGCATGAACAATAAATAAACATTTAAAAGATAAATACAATAAATCTGACAGCATCTACAGGAAGACTCTTAGGAAAGCATGACTGCATGGTTTATAGCAAAGAAATAATGACGTGGATATAAAATACTGCACCGAAATCACACACAAATTCTGATAAATAACCTCAAACTATCTCGTCTTTTATCGTTTGTTCAACGATGAAATGATTTAGGTTCTGGTAATAAATGCAGCAAGTGTTAATGCTTCATATTAAGATTCTTCCTGCACAGAGTCACGTTTGAGCTGTGCGTCCAAAGCAAAAACACGAGCAACAAAATTAGAAATTGGGCCTTTATTCACTTAAGTATAATGACATTTTTGTGTATCAAAGAGTCAGATGAAAAAGGAAAATGCTAATACTTATATCTGTCATACAAGGTAACAAAGACTCAGTTGGGGGTTTAAACCTGCAGGAACTCGGGGCAGGCACAAGGGGGCGCAAACGTTTACATGAACTCAACTGTAATCTGCCCTCTCAGCTTTTCTGTTTCCATTAGAGCAGCGATTTTAACTCAGAGTGACAAACAGTCGCTACTTGACGCAACTCTAGCTCTATAAGCATCTTATGTTCGTCTTTATGGTGAATTTTATGTTATGCTAGAGAGGAGATGGCCGCTACTCAATATATCTCACCAATCAGCATCAAACTGTTCTATAGGGCTGCTCAGAAGTACCTTCCCTGCAGTGGGAGTTAGAAAGTAGGAACACGAATGTTGAGGCCGCCCTAAAACGTAAAAACTGTAAATTCCTGCCGTAGAAAACAGCTTTTTGCTTTTAGTGTGTGCAGACCGATCCCCTAAATTCCCACTCTGAGCCAGAGAAAACCTCTTATCTGGCACGTTTCCTGCATAAAACCAGTGTTTACCTGTACTCTGGAAAACGGTTCAATGACTCGGATGAGGTTTTGTTCCAGCAGGTTGTCGTACAGCTTGGCCAGGTGAGTGTTGATAATCGGATCGTCCCTCAGTTCTGCTCTGTACTCTGTGAGGGCCTGGAAGATGCAAAACATCCACTTAAAACACCTAAAATACTCGAAACAGTGAGGCAATGTGTCTGGAGGTTTACTACAAAAAACTACTTAAAATGTGCAATAACAGCTGGAACACGATCGTGGTCATTATAGTATTATATTGGTGCAAATGTAAAATAAAGGAGCAAAAGTTAATTAGACGAGAACACGAGACAAAAAAAAAGCAGCTACACAAAGTTTTCTGTATCTTTAATAAGTGAGATTTGATGTGTTTAACGGAGTCTTACCTTTTCAAAGTCTGCTAATGATCTGTTCTTGCTGGCCTGGGCGACGCATTTCAGCGCATCTGTCTAAAAAGACAAAGGCAAAAAATATAAACTATTTAGTGTAAACAGGGTGTGAACTCCAGGGAGCAAAAAGATTTGTGAAATATTGACGTCATCAGGGCTCAGATGTAAATATAACTTTCCTTGTCAACACATTCTAAGTGTGGCGGCACAATATCATAAACTTCATCACTTTAACTCAATGATGAGACAAAAAAAACTAACTTTCTTGATGCCAACTGGACAGAAGAACAAATGTACACCTCTGTAGTGCTAAAATCAGGCAGCAGCAGCTACTGTTTCTTTATTATTCATAGTTTTATTAATAGAAATAATAAACATAAGCTAAATCCAGTGTTTCATAAATGCTGTATTTGTCATTTCTGAGCACAGAAATTGTAAAGAGTGAGCTCCCTGAAAGCCGTGGTGTAGCCCTCACTGATTAAAGAGAAAAAAAAAAGCTTAATAAAATAATTTATTGGCACAAAACTGAGATGTCAACCAACTTACAGTGAAGGTCATTTTCTTATGAAACACACATAATGTTTGTGCAGTGGCAAGGAGCTGATTTCAATCTGCAACCCTCACAAAAGCTGGGTGCGACATTCCACAAGCCACTTAAAACTGATTTTCAGGGTTAATGAATGAGGTTTAAAAGCAAGAGTTAGTAGCTTTTACTATTATAATATGCTGAATTTAATAAGTAGCAGCTGCTGTGTGCTGCTCTGCCCTACAACGGACTCTCGTGCTACATTTCATCTAGCGTATACAGCGTGTAGCACCGATTAGGAGTCATTCTTAATCTGTGCAACACTAACAACAAAATTACAAACAACCGATCGATTACACCGGTACTTGCCTGTCTGCCAGCGTATCGCAGCGCCAGTTTACCGCTGATCAGGGCTTGTACCTCCTCTGGTCTGCAAGAGAGAAGACGACAACAAATACATCAGAGGTGCAACAGAGTGCAGTTGATCTGTATGAATCCTCATCCGCACTCTGGCACTCGTGTGAACTGTGGATTATTTGCAAAGTTTAACCAGCAAGGTGTGAAATACAGTTTAACTACCCTTGTTACTTGTTGACCCAATGAGTCCTGCGCTATGTTCAGGGTAATTTCTCTTCTTTTTAACTTTCACGACTACTTTCTTCAATAAAAGGACGAGCCATATGTGGTGTGTCTTCTTCTTCAGAACAGTCTTTGCTATCCCGATTTTCCCTCGTTTGATATGATCATTCTTGGATATATTTGCCTTTATATCAAGAAAAAAAAAAATCATATTATGAAATTTGTGTTTTTATAGGTATCTCACAATAAAAGGCAAGCAGTCAATAAATTTTTAAGTCAAGCTATAAGGATTAAAGAAACCAGAAGGACACTCAGAGAGCGAAGTCCTCTGCTGAGGCCGATTTCACAATTTTAAAGAGAGTCATCTGGATAGTAAAACTTTACACTCCACCTCTCTATCACGTTTACTGAAATTTGACGTGGTAGTTGTTGTGTAGCTCACTCACAAAACTGACAACACACCTCCCTAAATTCCCTAAATCTCAATGCAAAGTTGCAGTGACAAGATGCTAAACAGTTGTTTGTTTACAAGAAGAGAGCAGGTTAAAAACAGTGTACAGTGACACTCATGGCAGTACTGTTGCTCCCTTTTATTGCTCTGACTCCAAACTATCCAAACTGTGAGTGATGTGGGTGCCAGATTACGGTGATGCGTAAATGTAACGTATGTTTTTAAAGCACTACTCACGAGTTGAGTACAATTTTGCACAGGAGCATGTATTTGAGTGCTGTGATGGCTCTGGGACTGTCGATGGAGTCGTAACCCTCGAAGGCCTCGAAGAAGTAGGAGTAAGCCGTCTTCCAGTCCTTCTCCTCTGCTGCATGGATGATCCCTGCAGCACAGATGACACCGCATGATTTATTCATTTATGGCCAAAACAAAACAGCAGTCACCTTGAAATGTCAAGTGTCAACGCAAACTTGCTGAGCTGAAGATAAACGGCGGAGCTGCAGTGTGACTCTCTGTGAGTTTTGCCTGAAAAGTACCCAAATAATCACAATGCTGGTAATTACAGCCGCATTCGGCACAAGCTGCGTCTCTTCTCTAGTTTAATTTGAGTTGTGGAGTCATGAATAAATATGATACTATCGTGCCTCGCAGCTCTTCCGCTTTTGAATTAGTAAACAAACTGTGTGACTTTGAGATATTTATCAGTGTAAAATTAGCCGAGTTGCTCGAGAACACTTCAAATATGCACTTTCCAGGGAGCGCTTGAGGAACAGAGCGGCTTCGTGATGGTTTCGAGTCATTTATTCTAATGCTGCAAAAAACAAACGTCTCATTAGTGCAGCAATAAAGCGCAGGATGCCCACAAATACTTTATTATTCTAAATTTAAAAAATACTTCGTCATCCTCAGACCAGATTAATCAAAAAGTCATCAGTTTGTGAAGACATGTTGTCACACTTAGTTTTAATTTAGGATAAAAAAAAGTGGCAGACTGAAAATACTGAGTGTGTAATAACATCAAATAAATAGATTTTCATGTTTGTTGGTCGAGGTGTTTGGACAAGAGGCAAGTCATGCATCTTCAGAACAGTTGGTCAGGAATGAATCAAGGCTTCAGGTATCTTTCCTGTTAAGCCACATAGACAAGAGTCCCGATAAAAAAGTGAGAACTTTAAACACGGCTGACCTGACTGCATGTCCAGCGCTGCCTGGAGCTTTGGAGGACAGTAAATGGCGTTGGCGGTGGTTCTGGCTGAAGTGAGGGCTGCGCGGGCCTTGGGCAGGTTACTGAGAGCGTGGTACGTCTTGCTTTCCAGCAGCTGTACTTCCACCAGAAGAGCTTTGTCATCCATTTTTTTCAGCTCCTGGAGCAACTGGGAGCCTGAGGGGAAAGAGAATGAATCCTAGTTCACACCAAGCTCATTAATGACTTTGTACAACATTTGCTAAACAGCTTTGGATATGTGCTGTTCTCCTCTCTCAGCCTGATTTTTTTTTTAAGCTAACTTTTAGTCAAACTTCTTAACTTATCACTTTTGTGGAACAAGACTGCAAGAGTCAAAGACGACTTGCCAGATAAGAAAACATTTGGTATTTGCATCAGATCAGATGTCAGGGGAAACAAATGAAGTCTCTACGAAGACGGAAGTTGCCGTTTAACTAAGCAAAGTCTTATCTCTGATCACTCACCAAGAGCCAAGGCCTCCTGGTATCGTTTGGTGTCAAAATAGAGCGAGATCAGCCGTGCCTGAAAGACAAAAGAATGCTGTTAGACAAGTGGAGAAGAGCTGTGCCACGAGATGCAGCTTTGAGTTATCCTGGTCTTATTCTAGATTAACCTGAGCTGAGTTTCTGATAATGAAAATATCTGGTTGCAAGAAAGGTCAGACTGTGACTTAACCACACAGCAAGTTCTACAGTCACCTTTAGAACGCCCCAGAATGAGACTTCTGCTAAACTAATGCCACAATCTTTTCATAAGTGTAACGAATTGCAGCAGATATCATAGTTTCTATTCTCTACCAGGATATTTCTGAGGGCATACAAGTTGTCCACACTCTCCTTGTTTTCCCAACTTAACCTCTTCATTTGCATCCACTCATCCTAATATTTTACAGAAATCAAATTCAGAATGTTCACATAAAAATTAAGAAATATCAGAGAAATGTAAATTTGTCAAAGTGCGTTTGTATTTCTCACAATACAGTAAAATAGGGTGGACTGAGGTATGTTAGAGTGAGAGAAACATCTTATGGAGTATCACCAGTTGGCTTGTTATTACTAAGCTTTTCATGGCAAACAGCAAGAAGTTGCAATGTCACCGTCACACGTTTCTCAAAAACATAACAGAGTTCCTTCATTTCCTGGAAGAACAGAAATTGGCAGAGAGGAGGTAAACAAACCGTTCTCATAAGTGGAACTTGACACTAATGTGTATGAGTAATAGTCATTCTAGTATAAATGCAGCATCCTAAAGTATTATTACATTAATGTTTGTTAATGCAACTGATGTTACACAAACTTGTTTCATGAAATAAGGTTTTGCTTTTAGTACTAAGTGCAGGAGAACACGTGCAACATGTTTTTTTTTTTACTCCTTCGCCACCACAGCCTGTGTGAAGAGGCACCTTTTCTCAAGCATCGTGCCACAGTTTCATAACGTTGTTTTCTTTTACAAGGTTCTGGACCAATACAAAAACCTTGCCGATTCTGTATTTCGTAATTCAGCTGTTCTGATATTTGTGACTCCAAGTGTGAAACTGCACACTCATTTGGCCACCAAGTCCACTTTGGATGCTACAGCGGGTTAACGTCATCGCCGATGCCAGTCACTAGTGGATGTATTAGCGCCTCGTCTCCTTCAGGCGAAGTTTGCAGATTTGTTGCATCAAGTTTCTTGTGTTCGTTTGGTTTTAACTCTGAGTGATGCTACAGCGGCGGTGCTGCATTATCGCTGACGACCAAATGCTCCACCATTATCCGTCTGAGATCACGGCGTCTCCCACTCCGTGAGTCAGCACACGGTAAATTCGATCCTTCCCACAGCTGCTATTTATGTTTGGGGGATATCACTTTTGTTTTCAGCATCATCACACCCTGAATTGTGTGTCAGCAGTAAGCTTGGTTGAGTCACAGCACAAATAAATCAGCTGACAACACATTTCTAATATGAGCATTAGGATACAAATAGCCTCCTTAATATTTCTTCTCAAGGCGTCAAATGGAATGAAATAATTCACCCCTAATGGTACAATTGGTGCGTAATAAGTTGTTGCTATAGCCTTTAATATTATGCTAGTTTTGGGATCAAATTCAGCTCCATATTTCTCTTCAAGAGAAATCACAGATGTTCATGTTTCCCATTTAATCCGGTTCTTTCTTCCTCGTTTACAGTATATGAGGGACTCCTGTTTTAAAGGTCAAACTTTTTCAACAATTCTGTGATCATACGTGTGGTGAAGATAAGATCACAGTTTGTGCCGTCGTGACAGCACCCACGGGCTTATCCTTGACCTCCTCACCTCCAGAGCCTGTCGTAGGAAGGTCCTCTTCTCAGCCTTGGCCCACTCGATGCACTCCAGACACAGCTCGACCTCCTGCCCGGTCGCTGCTTCCATGTCGAGGAAGAGGTCCAGCAGGGAGCGGACAAGCCGGGCCGCCTTGGCCTTGCTGATTGAAATCAGGAAAGGCCTCACAAATTTCAGCAGCCCCCCAAGTTCTGAGGACAGAAAATATATCATGAGTATGTCAAGAGAGTGAAAGCGTTTATCGTACAACACCAACCAGGAGCAACAGGTTTAAAAAGCTTTAAAAAGCTTTAGGCTTAGCAGCAACAAATAGGAATGAAATACATCTGTGACTGAAACCTTTCCAAGATCATAAGTTACCTGCAGCCTGTCCTGTCTTTGCCAGGAGTGTCCCCAGCTCCAGGATGCTTTGTTCTTTAACTCTGACAGCTTCCTCATCGTTCTCTTGAACATCTCTTCTCACTGTAAAGGAAGAAAGCAACCAGTTAACACTCACAAAAAGTCATAAAATGTTCTCTCAACTCGAACACTTCGCAATCTGTGAATTTCCAAATGGTCTGACAACCACAGTGACTCACTTTGTCCTATAATCTGTTTGACAAATAGTGTCTCAATAGTATCATAATAACTGGAGGTGCAACAATTAATCGACTTATCGAGTAGTTGTCAAAATTAGTCTCCAACTAAACATCATAATTCTGATTCCACTTTCTCAGTTAAGCCGAATATCTTTGGATAGTAGACAAAATATGACATTTGAGGACGTCATCTTGGGAAATGTTGTCAACTACTGAATTAATCGGCAACTGTTTTGATGAGCGGTTTGACTAATTTTAAAGAACAAAAGTCTAAATTCTCTAATTCCAGCTTCTCAAATGTGAATATTTTGTTTTGTTTTTTTTTTACCTCCTCTGACAGTAAACTAAAATTTTATAGACTGAACAATTTATCAATTAATGGAGAAAGTAACTGACAAGTTAATGGACAATGACAATAATCCTCAGTCGTAGCCCTACAACACAGCAATGTAGACGTTCTCATTTACAAGTAAAAAGTCCTGGATGAAAAACCCTGTTGAGTAAAGCACAAACGTATTTCAGATGCAACAATTAAATAATCTATTAATAGGTTGTCAACTACTTTGATAAGCAGCTTGAGTGATTTTTTTAAAGAAATAAAGTCTAAACTCTGTGACTCAAGCTTCTTAAATGTGATTATTTTCCTGATTCTTTTCACCTTGACAGGGTTGTGGACAAAACAAGACATTTGAGGAAGTCATCTAAAGCTTTGGGAAATATTTCTAGATGTGTATTTACTATTTTCTGGCATTTTACAGACCAAACAAACTGATTAATTGACAAGGGAAATAATTAGCAGTCGCAGCCCCAGTCATAACAATCAATATCAAACACACAATCCAATCTGGCTACTAGGGCCCCAGCTGAGGATTAGTTCTATTATCTATTAATCACTGATGACTTTATAAAGTGTCAGAAACAAGGCAGGGGTGTTGATTTAAAATTGCTTATGTTGTCCAAGCTGCTGTCAAACCCTCCAAACGTATTCAGTTTACAAACAACAAGAGACTGACATTGCTGAGGCTGAGCGTTTCACTTTATGACTGATAAATGACCATTATAAACATTTCAGTGGAAAACAACAAAGTTTTCTAAAAGAACTACTTCTGCTCTAACGAGAAGCACAACAAAACCGATGTCAAAACATGACAACCTGAGGGGTAAACAGGGAAGAAAGACAACTTGACAGCTCGTGGGCTGGTGTGACAAGGCAATTTGAGGACAGTGATGTCTCTGGAAAAGGCAAAAACTGTTTGTTACATAACCCTAACAGCGGATTTACATTTGTAACCATGAATAAACAAGCAAATATCAACAAACTACTCATAAATGTCCCATTAATAACAAAACAGACACTGTATATTGACACTCTATTGAGGAGCAGCTTTTTGACAACAAGCTAAAGACGTTAGCCTCAACAGTGCTCATGCTAACGTGACAGACTGAAGTAAAGCTAACGGAAGCTGTGGTAAATAACAAAACAACACAATACCCAATTACACGGCGAAACACACAACAGTCCTGACAACTACTAACTGGCACATTTCACACTCAGGCCTAACGTTAGCAAAGCTGCTAACGAGCTAGCGCCCGCTAGCTAGCAGTTACCGTTACCCACCGTTCAACAGTGAGTCAGCACGGCACACCGCCGGCTCTTGCTATTCAAAGCCACTAGCTAGCATGCTAACCCCGCAGCCTGACACCGACTGACAAATAACCGTTTACAGCCGTGAGGGGCAAAGTGTCCGCCTCAGCGCGGCAGCTAAACACCCACCTATCGAGTGCAGAATGTCGATAGAGGCGTTGCGATCCGTGCTAATGAGAGACTGGGCTCTCTGAAACTCAACCACTGCTGCAGCCGCCATCTTCCTTATTCAAATGCTGCCTGAATGAAAATTACGTGAGGCGACTACGTTACTTAGCGTCAGTGACGTCACTGCGCAACTTGCATGTCGGGATTTACAGAATTCGGGAATTGTAGTTTTTCCCCCACACAGACCATATATTAAGCCTACATTTTTAAATGTATTTTTTTAAATATTCCTTGACGTTCATTTTGGCTTTTCTGCATCACCAATAGAATTTGATTATTTTTAAGATTTTTTTTGTATTAACAGATATATATTAACAAACCGAAATCTGGATAGATACAGTTGTTGAAATCTGGATGAAGAAAATCTGACGTGCAATGAGAAATTTTACTATACAGTATTAGAAGATGAAATAGAATATACATGCATTGTTTGTAAGTGTGTTTATTGTGTCATATATGCTATTCTGTTCTAAATATCTCATCTGTTGCACATAATTATTGTCCTTCGTGTACTCCTGAATTAGCCACATGACAATACCTGTTCCCAAAGATGTTGTTCAGACTTTGACACATTAGCGGCTTAGTTCAGCCTCGAACTCTTTATATTCTAACCTGATAATCGTCCATCACTGTGCTGTATGCAAAGCAAGGTCATCCTACTTTCTTTCTACTCCAAGGCCATGTTTCACATTCATAGTACAGTAAGTGCACAGAAAAAAATCCAGAGATATTTTTTTTAAAAATAATTCTTATTTTTGTATAAAAGCACAAAGGACCATAAATCAAACATTTAGCACTATAACCTCAGTTGCCCAGGCCTGACAACATGTTTAAAGAGAGAGGTCAGAGGTCACGAGAGGCTAATTTTGTTATGTACGATTTTATTATACTACAATTTCCTGTGTAAATTGTATTTTTCTGTTGTTAATCTGTCATCCGTTGCCTATTCAGTGCATTAATATTATTCTTGGCATACAACTGGAATTTTGGATTATTTTAAAAATACGACTTTTTGGCCAACCAGGCAAAAAAAACTGGTCTTCAAGGTTATACTGATGGTAGCATGTATTCTATGATCATATTGTTCAGTCCTCCGATGTAACCTTGATCTGCAGCATTAAAATAATTCATTTAATTTATTTGCATGATGCAAGTGTATTACATAGGTATTAGTATCAGTAGTTTGGGACTTTCTTGCTCTACATCTCGTGCAAATATGCATTAGATTTCCTGAGAGTGACACAAAATGAAACTTACTGTGTGTTTACTGTGAAACCACTAACAATCAAACTGAACCATTTTTCCAGGTTTATGACTTTTGACGTTTTTGAAATAAGATTTGGACATTCAACAACAAACAAAAATAAAAAATAAGACAAAAATTGTTTGTTTTTTAAAGAATCAGGGTCAGCTGTTGTGTATTTATAGCTTTGTGTCAGTGGCTAAGGTTATTTCTATCATTATAGTAATGGATAAATGGCCAGCAATGAACAAAAAAAAGCACAGTTTGGCCAAATAGAAATATTCTACATTAATATTGCTGAGAGGCTGCTGTAAAAGCCCACATGGAGATGAAAATGGGGCAGTCAGAGAGGCTGATGCAAAGGATCTTTAGTGAATACAGGCTTAGAAACCACATGGCTGCCAACTCCCTTCTCGTGCATGCTCGTGGATGAACGCTATTGTTCAGGTTATTGGCTGCGAGGAAGAAGAAGAAGAAAGAAAGAAAAAAAAAAAAAACATCTTCGGAGTTCAGTGGGTTCAGCTTCTCTCCTGCTGCTCGGCGGCTGAAGGCGGAGTTGTTGTGTTTTCCAGCAGCGCAGAGCGGCGCCCCTCCACCGCCGTGTGCGTCAGGCGTCCTCGCTCAGTCAGCGACACAACATCAGCCGCTCGCAGCATCCGCATCTCACGGCCAGCAGGACCAGCAGCAACATCTTCATCTCAGCATCCATTCCACAACTGCCTGCCATCGCCTGCGCACCGCCGACACTCAGGCGCGCTCCGTCTCTCCCTGCTCCTCTTCTCGACTCGGATTATTCTTTTTTATTTTTCTTTCTTTCTTTGTTGCATTTGCATCCCTTCGAGATGGTTTTCTTGTTTTAATCGCGTTTGTTTTTTTTTCTTTTTTTGGTTTTGTTTTGTTTTTTTGTAAAGGAAGAACGGACTCGAGGCGCAGAGCATCACCTTTACATTGCGGTTATTTTTTTTTTTCCCTTGCTGGAGATCTGGTGAGTTTGTTCTCATTTTTGAAGCATATTTGTGCCAAATTCAGACGTTTAATATATATTTTTTTTAAAAAACACAAAAACGACAATTACGCAGCTATGGGGCCTTTCTAATTAGGAAAATGTGATAATAAATGAGACGTAGCAGCGATATAAAGCTGCTAACAGTCAAATCCGACGACATATTGTGGCATATTAACGGATAAACGGAGAAAGATGAGGATTTTCTTTGGTTTTTAAGCCACCGCCTATCGCAGCCTCGACGCAGACGCTCAGCTTCAGCACCACGGAGAGCACCCGATGTACACAACTCCCCATCACAGCCATGAGGCCACAATAAGCCACAATTTTGAGTCACAATCAGAGCTGATGTTTTGGTATTTTCTCGATGTGCAATTAGGGAAAGAGGGTGATGGAATGAAGCAGCCTGGATCCTGCGCACTTGAGCAAAAAAAAAAAAAAAAAAAAAAAAGTCGATCCATCGGTGCTGCAGTGAGGCAGGAAAAACACGTCGATCATTTATCTCTTTGTTGGTTTCATTTGGATGCAGATAAACGACGTGACCTTGAGTTTGTGTGCTTAAGACGTGCGTGCTCGGACTCCGCATCCAAACCTCGACCTTCACCTGTTATTCTCGTGTTTACGTTTCTGTCTTCCATTTTAGTGAAGATGGGTGGCGCGTGGTTCGCTCTGATTCGTCGGCCATTGCGCGTAAAATGTGGATCTCACCTTCTAAAATCGTTCTTATTCACTATATGGGACTCAGTTTTTGTGCTATTCGGTGCCATACCTCGTAATCTCCTGCGGATGAGCATCAGATGTGGCACAGTTTCACACTAATGTTTATCATGTGGGTGAGTCACCTGCTCGTTTGCAGCAGTGGGGGCTCCATACAGTCTGAATGAATGAGAACAGGCTGTAGGCTGATTCACTCCATCAATGCTGCTAATTAGC